AGCAGGAGAGGGAGTTGTCCCAGGGCTGCCTCACTTCAGGGCCTCCTCACAGCCCTGATGATACCTAATGAAGAAACAGCAGTATTGAATTGATATACATCACGCTGCTTCATAATTCACCTGTGACAATACTGAGCTTCTGAACAACCCTTCTGTACTCCCAGTCATTCTGTATTAAAATTGAGGTATTTGCCCTAAAGTTTCCTTCCTTCCTACCACACCCCAACCTTGGGACTCCTCTTGGCATTGACTTGGAACCAATGACTATAAATTTATAGACATACACCTGGATCCCATACACAAACCCAGAGACCCCAAAGTCACACCCAAGGAGGCCCCAGGTCGGAGACCCATACCCAGATAGATTCAAACCAAGGCAACAGACCTCAGAGACAGGACCCAGATCCATAACCAAGACTCTACAGCCAGACTCCAGAGTTAGAGCTGGACAATGAACCCCAGTTGCCAGATGCCAGACACAGAAGATGAACCACACTACTCAGGGTTTATAATATTCTTAATTGCATTTCCATAAATGCATTCTTAATTGCATTTCTATAAATGACCTTGGATCCAGTACTTAAGTATAAAATTTATTGTCTTCATATTAAACAGTTTTCATCTTTCAAACAGTAACTGCATAACACAGTATATTTTGCACTAGGGAAATATTCCTGCCAGAAAAGAGCTTTGGATGCAAATTGGGCACTTTGGGTGGTCAAGGTGCTATTCAGATAAGGAAGGCAGCACGGGCCACTGGATGTAATAAAGATGTGCAGAATTTTTGTTGAGTTATTTTTAAATGTATACATATATAACCAGCTACTTCTACTCCCTTCTTTTATCTACAATAATATATAGATAGGTTTATGTTAAGTAAAGGAGAAAACAAGTGACACAACATTCCAAATGACATAAAGGAAAACCAAGTTTTCCCCTGCACGTTGCCCCGACCCCGACCCTGTGAATAGTCCCTGTGTGTCCTTTCAGCACATGTCTTCTGTCTGGCTTTTTCCCCTTGTTCTTTTTTTAATCCTCACTTGAGTATATATTTATTGATTTTATAAAAAATATATTTTATTGATTATGCCATTACAATTGTCCCATTTCCCCCCTTCATTGTCCTCGACCCTGCACACCCCCTCCCTGCCATTCCCCCCCTTCAACTCATGTCCATGTGTCACCAGTTCTTTAGCTTCTACACTTGCCATACTATCCTTGCCCTCCCCGTCTATTTTCAACCTACCATCTATGCTACTTATTCTCTGTACCTTCTCCTCCTCCCACCCCCTGTTGCTAACCCTCCATGTGATCTCCATTTCTGTTGTTCCACTGCTGATCTAGCTGTCTGCTTAATTTGCTTTTGTTTTAGGTGTGGTTGTTTGTAACTGTGAGTTTGCTGTCCTTTCACTGTTTATCTTTTGTATCTTCTTTTTCTTAGATAAGTCCCTTTAACATTTCATATAATAAGGGCTTGGTGATGATGAACTCCTTGAATTTGATCTTATCTGAGAAGCACTTTATCTGTCCTTCCATTCTAAATGAAAGCTTTGCTGGATAGAGCAATCTTGGATGTAGGTCCTTGCATTTCATGACTTGAAATACTTCTTTCCAGGCCCTTCTTGCCTGTGAGGTCTCTTTTGAGAAATCTGCTGACAGTCTGATGGGAACTCCTTTGTAGGTGACTGTCCCTTTATCTCTTGCTGCTTCTAGGATTCTCTCCTTCATTTTAATCTTGGCTAATGTAATTATGATGTGCCTTGGTGTGTTCTTCTTTGGGTCCAACTTCTTTGGGACTGTCTGAGCTTCCTGGATTTCCTGAAAGCCTATTGCCTTTGCCAGATTGGGGAAGTTCCCCTTTATTATTTGTTCAAATAAGTTTTCCAGTTGTTGCTGTTCCTCTTCCCCTTTTGGTACCCCTATAATTTAGATTTTGAAATGTTTAAAGATGTCCTGGAGGTTCCTAAGCCTCTCCTCATTTTTTTTTTGAATTCTTATTTCTTCATTCTTTTTGGTTGGATGTTTCTTTCTTCCTTCTGGTCCACTCCATTGATTAGAGTCCCAGTTTCCTTTCCATCACTATTGGTTCCCTGTGCATTTCACTTCATTTCACTTAGTGTAGCCTTCATTTTTTCATCTAATTTGCGACTAAAATCAACCATTTCTGTGAGCACGGTTTTGAACCGTGCATCGATACGTTGGCTATCTCTTGGTCACTTAGAAGTATTAACTCTGGGGCTTTGAGTTGTTCTTTTGCTTGAGCCATAATGTTTTGGTCTGTTCAAGACTGTTATGTAGGAGGGGTGAAAGCTTAGTTGTTCACTGGGGCAGGTCACCCCAGTCACTGGGTTGTGACCGGGGGCAAGGTCAGAGAGTCAGCAATGGCATTTGTTCCACTCTCTCTCAGAGTTCAGTCCCCTCTGCCACCTCCCACAAGCAAATTGGGCCCTTCTGGTGCTAGTCCCTGGGTATGTGGGCTTGTGTGCATTCTAGGACCCTGTGGGTCTCTCCAATGAACTCTCCTGTGAATCTGGGAGCCTCTCCTGGCACCTCAATACCCAAAAGTTTTTTCAATTGGTGCTTTTAGTCTTTATTTCCTGGCGCTGGGGCCCTGCATTGCGTGGTCTGTCTCACTGTTCATTTTTTCACCTGGTTTATCTGCGTGTAAATGTGTGACCGCAGTCAGCCTGCCGCCTTGCAGCCTCACTGGGTCTGCCCGTTGCCACCCCAGGCCTGGGATCTGCCAACTGCAGCCTGAGTGCCTGGGTTGGTCCCGTAGCCACCACTTTTTCCTGCCGAGACCGCTCTCCGCCAGTGGCCGACTCCACTCCTCTTACCTGTCTGGATGAATGGTTCTTTGTTTTTGGACTTGGTACAGTTCAATTTTCTGTCTATTTTGGTTGTGTTTTTGTTTCTAAATCTTTGTCTTCCTTAAATGTGCTTGTGCAAGGAAGTACAGTGTTTCCACCTACACTTCCATCTTGGCTGGAAGTCCTGTCTGGGTTTTTTTTTAACACAATTTGTTTTGTAGAATATTTTTTTCACATAACAACATTACTTAGAAATTATTCTCTTAAAATCCATTAGAACCACCTTACTAGGTTTTATTTCTTTAATGAAATACCATGTATCCTCACCTGTTTTTAACATTCTATAATATTTGACAGTGTGACCAAACCATAATTTAACAAATTCTCTTCTACTGAAAACTTTTAAAAATTATATCTGTTATTATATAACTGTTGGATACAATATTTTAAACATACTTCATTTCATACACAGAGAAGCATAACTGGGGGGAATTTTTTATGCTTTTCTTTTAATTTCATTTATTAATTTGAAGGAGAGAGTTGCTCCATTTATGCATTCATTCATTCATTGATTGCTTCTTGTATGTGCCCCGACTGGAGAATGAACTGACCACCTTGGCATATAGGCAGGACACTCTAACCAACTGAGCTACCAGGCCAGGGCTAGTAGGGGAAATTTTTGAAGAGTGGAATTTTGGGGTCAGAGGGTATGAGGATGTTATTTCTGGATGACTATTGTCAAAATGATCATCAGGGAGTCTGCACCAAAGGACCCTTCCCAGAGTCCTTCAGAGCAAGGACACTGTATCTGCTTGCTCATCAGCCTCAGAGATCTCAGGAGTCCTCTGGATCCCTATACGGGCCACCAAACTATGTTGACCTTAAAAATATAGCAGTCAGTTATTTTAACAACAGATAAGGGGTTTATTCAAAAACAGTTAAAAATGCAATTTAGGACAAGAAAGATGTAGCAAAGTAATTGGCAAGCTCCACAAGTAAAAGAAAGGAACGTTATTTTACAGGGAAAAAAGAGGAGGTTGGGAGGGGTCATTTCAAAGCAAAGTGCAGTGCAGAAGATCCTTAGTCCAGGGTGACAATGGTTTCTCTCTGGCTGACTTGCTGGGGAGTCCGTTTCTCCTGGGAGCACATGGTGCATCTATATGTTGGGGCTTGTAACAGACAATCTTTCCTGTAATTGACCCTGGGTGGTGCTATGTGGAGCGCCCCCACTGACCCCCAACTCCTCTTTAGTGAGGTTTCCCTTTATGCAGTTTCGCAGGAATAATTACAGTTAGTAGGCGCAGTTCCAGTCCATGGAAATCAAGTTATATTTATGTGCTCAAAACGAGGCAAGGGCCAGAGACACTCTTTCCATTTTATCCCATGAAAGCCAGTAGCAGCAAAACGGACCCTGCTCTGTGGACCCCTGCCCTCAAATTTGATGTGTTATTTTCACAAAAAATACTCGTAGGTTTTTTAGTATTTTTACATTTATTTGGTTTGTTTTTATCTTGTCTTCCTAACTTTTATCCCTTCTGAAATGATTTCACACCTGAGTTACTTAAACATACCTATTACTCATAATGCCACTACTTTCATGAGACATGAAATTCTCTCAGTGTGTTATGCAGTATACTTATTTTATTTGTTGTGTTTAAATGTTTGAGCCCTCTGGGACTCATTTTGTGTACATGAATTGTATGGTCAGAATTTACTGACTTAAGTTTCCACGGAATGCAATGCAGTCATAGCTGCATCCTCACTGCTTACGCAGCTCTTGCTAAAAGTAGGTTTGAAAAGGCGGGGCACGGATGGGCCTAGATGTAAGTTGGGGATCCCGACCGGAGTCTGGTGGAACAAAGACGCTTTGTCAGGAGGGCCCTGTCCACCCTAAGATCCGCTCTGGCTCGCGGCTCCCAGCTCCTACGGGGTGGGTTCCTCAACAGCTGCAGGAAAACAAGTCAAGGTAAACCTCAGTCCTGACTGCTGGCTTCTGACAGCTTGCTCGGGGAAAGCCAGGGTAGCCAATCCCGGTGGGGCGGGGCGGGTCTTCCGCCTGCTATCCGACCCAGGGGGCTCCGCCCCCCTCTCCCGCCCTCACAGCTTCTTCTGACCGCCCATTGGTGGGCAGGGCTGCGATTGCAGCACTGATTGGTGAGTTGCGCCCACGTGGCTATCCAGGCCGGAACGGTGCCACGGGCGCCCTCACTCCTTCCGAGGGCGGGAAGCCCAGGATCCCTGAGAAGACGCTCCATTGAGGGGGGCAGCGCGACAGGGGCCGCCGGAGACTGACCGGTAAGCGGGGAGCCCTGCCACGCAGCGCCCTTAGCCCGAGACCTTCAAAGTCCAGTCTGAGAGACGCCAGACGCCCTCATCCTGAGGGGCCCCAAACCCCGTCAGCATCGAGGGGCCCGCGTCCGCCAACCCGGAGGACCCACATCTCCTGACCCCCAACGCCTGGACCCCCAAACAGCCCGAAAACCCCAGTTCCCCTCGGCTCGGGGCCCCCAACCTGCAGCTCGCCCGGAAAGACCGAATCTCCCCAAACTCAGAGACGCTAAACGCCGTCGTCCTGGAAACCGACTCAGTGGTGGGGACCGGAAGCCCCTCGATGAGACGCCCCAAATCTCCTCAGCCGCAGGGTCTGACCCTCCCCCCGGCCTCAGTGTCCTCAGCCCGGAAGACGCAGGATCGGGTCTCAGGACCCCGAGCTGTGAGGGGCCCTCCCCGGGGAGAAGCGCGTTTCCTGCGCCGCCTCAGCCCGCCCGGACGATGGCACCTCAGACGCCCGGCGGAGGCCTGCGGAGCGCGCGCTGAGGGGCGCGGAGGGACGGGAGGGACCAGGGCGCCCCCCGGCGCGTTCCCAGGCCCGCGTCCCCGCCCGGCGCCCCGCCCTGCCGGCCGGAGAAAGGCGTTCGGCCCTCTCAGCGCCTTCTCCTTCCACAGGCGCCTGGGACGCCATGAACCCCGACGGGGGCCCGCAGCACAGCCCCGGGGGAGAAGCGGGGCGGACGCCGCAGGTGAGCGGAGGGGACGGGGCTCCGCAGACGCGCGGCCCTCGGGTGACCCTGGCTGTGCGGGCGCAGAGCGCGACGGGACCCGCAGTCGCAGGGCCGGGCGGGGGAGACCCTCCAGCGCGTCCTCACTGCATCACCGGGTTACTGGCGTTTCCACTCCTCTCCAGGCCGAAGAAGCTTTGGAAGCCGCTTCCCTCCGCTTCTCCCGGGAGGAGTGGGCAGCGACGGGGGACCGGGAGGAAGGCCGGTGCCGGAGCGTGCAGCGGAGCCTGGACGCACCCCCTTGTAGGTAGCGCAGGCGCTGGGCCCGGGGCCTGGTGACCCGCCGGGCTGCCGGGCCGCTCCACCCGTGCGCACCGATCGATCGGGGGAATGTGCTCCTTCGGTGCGGCGCTCACAGCAACTCGTTTCACTCTCCATCCCAGCCGGGCCGGTCCCACGGGCCTCTTCCTCCTCCAAGTTCTTGCTTTCAGGACAAAGGTTTTGTCTCTTTCCAGGTCTCAGGGCCCCGCGACCAGCTTTCCCGTGTCACCACCGCGGGCTCCAGGAGGAGGACCCCGAGGACTCTGATGAAGAATGGACTCCAAGGCAGCGAGGTGAGGGGCAGGATCTGTCCTCCTGACTCGGACCTGGTTTAGGTCAGGCTGCATCTCAGGACATAACCAAGGAACATGCTTTGCTTGTCCAGTGAACACGCAGGATGCAGAACAGTGTATGTTACAGTGAGGGGATATTCCCATAAACTATCAAGTGTGCAACATCATTGTATATATTTATGGATACATTAATAAGCGGTAAATGTGTAAGAACATACAATTGAACAAGAAATAACTAAATCAGAATAGGCATGGCACCCGATGGCCTGCATGGAGACAGATGGGAACAGTATTAACCATGGTGATGATGGGAGCTGGGGGAGGGCCAGGGTGGGGAGTGGCTGATCACTGTATCATTTCCTGGTGTCGGCCATGGTGTCATTCTGTCTGGTATCATGAGTGTTTGATTGGTGGGGTCGGTCCACTTTCATGGGTCTGGGGTTGAAACACAGCTGAAGCCAAGATGTGATCTTTAACTTGACTGGAATTCTGTTGCTGTGGTCATCAGACTGTGGATGCCGACCAGAGTCTAATGATTAAGGAAGGGCGTGGATGGCCAGTATGTGCACAGGGGGGAGGATACCAGAGAAAGGAGGAGAGGGGTTGGTAGGGCCGTTAGCCTGGACGAGGCCAGTTTGAATGAAGACAACAGAGCAGAGAAAGGGTTATGTTGAAGATATGGAGTTTCTGTGCAGTTACTTTTATTATGTTTTTGTCAGAGGCCAATTTATTTTTTAATAAATGTAATAGATGCTTTATGAACATAGGAGGAAGTGTAGATGACACTTTGTCTTTTTTTTTTTTTAACATTCTAGTGAAATTAGTGGATGGCCCCAATAGAAGCATAGGCCTTAATGATACCTCAGAACATTTTCCAACCATCCTCGGATTGTTCTTGGACTACTCTCATTCACAATTCTGTGTCCTTAATAAGACTCTCCAGATTTTGGAAATATTTACCAACCAAAACGCTGATTTCTCATCATCTTTCAGTGAAACCTTCTTGGGTGGCCTTCAGAAGGGAACAGAGTAAACACCAGAAAGTGAGTATTTCCCAAATCCTGTTGACAAGAACATTTTCCTCAAGGATAGAAATGCAGGTAAGAACAGGAAAATGCAGAGAGTATCCTAGGAACTGCTGCCTTCCTTTCTTGGTTTCTTCAACACATTGTCTGACATCATCTTTTTTTAAAGATTTTATTTATCAATTTTTTAGACAGAGGGGAATGGAGGGAGAAAGAAAGGGAGAGAAACATGAATAGGTTGCCTCTCATACAACCCAGGCATATGCCCTGACCAAGAACTGGTGACCTTTTAGTCTGCAGGCCAGCGCTCAATCCACTGAGCCACATCAGCCAGGGCTCATCATCATCTTAACAGGTAGTAACTACAACAACAATAGTAACTACAAGTTGTTTCATTCTCACAATGTTTCAGACTTTAAGAATTCTATGTGAATAAACTCAGTTACACATTACAACCACCTAGTGAGGAAGGTACTGTAACTGTCACCATTTACAATGAGGAAAGTGAGCTTTCAGAGATAGAGAAATATTTGACTATATGTCTAAGATCACAGTATCAGTGTTTGTGCAGTTTAATCCATAGTCTCTTATCTAAACCACTTCCAAACTTATTAAAACTTCCATAGTTTTTCCCTGGCAAGTGTGACTTGGTTGAGTGTCATTCTGCAAAGTGAAAGATGGCCCATTTGATTCCTGGTCAGGGCACATGCCTGGGTTGTAAGCCAGGTTCCCAGTGGGGATATTTGTGAGCAGTGACTGATCAATGTTTCTCTCTCACATCGATGTTTCTCTCCCTCTTTCTCCCTCCCTTCCCGTCTCTCAAAAAAAATAAAATCTTTAAATTAAAAAAAGCCTTCAGTTTTCTAAAGTTTACATTGTCTTATACATGTCATTACATCATGCATCTCACTAACAATTTCAACTAAAGTTCTTCACTGCTATGCTGAAGTAAGAGACTCACTAAGACCCTCTGAATAAGGAAAGTGTACGATGTGTAGGCAGTTGGTACAGCGGATGGCCCCAGGTGAAGAAGAATGTAAAATCCCCATGATCAGAGCCTTCCACTCTAATCAAAGAAAGCATCTCTCACCCCAGAGGAGCCTCAGGTTTCATGATTGAGAAACAACAAATAATAAAATGACTTAAGGACTTCATATAGGTTACACACCGTTGTTCAACAAGAACTCATCCATCAGGAACTAATTTCAAATGCCCTTTCTTATAGGGTGAAGTAACAGCTTCTTTGAGTTCTAATGAGGTCACTCTCATTTGTTCAGTCTGCCTAACTCTGCATTGTGAGCTCTTTGAGACCCTGGTTCATACCTGAGACTTCTCAGAGGTCACAGGACCAGATATCAGGGCTCCTGAGGGCCCCTGAGTGTTTGCTGAATGAATGATTTCACAATTACAAATTAAACTAGATGATGATCAATGAACACTGAAGGTAATTTCTGTGGAATTGAAATATGAAGAGAGCTGAGGGGTAAATTGACAGCACAGTCATGCTATATTATGTAATTCACAGAACACTTTCTTGAACATTATTTAATTACATATTCACTATAATATTAAAAATTGGCATGTTACAGATCAGGACACTGAGGACAACTAGCTACTGATACAGTCTTATTCAAACAATTGGTGGGAACCAGCTAATCAAATAGCTGCAATGCCTTGTAGCTTGGAAATATTCTTTCCAAGGTATTGCAGATTTTATCACCATTTAATTTATTGTCTAGATATGTTTTTGCCAACTATTTATTGTCTTCCCAATATCCTTCACTCAATATTATAGAGACAGTTGAAAGAAGAGAGCCATGAGGCATGGGTTCTAATACTGATTCATTACCCACATTGGCCCTATCCTCTCTATATTCATGCTCCCTAAATATTTCCAAGGGTTCAAGTATTAAAGGCATGCATGTAAAATGTATCATAAGCCTTAAAAAATTAAGGACATGTTATCTTCTATTATGTGACTCTTATATTGAAGGCAACATCCAGGGTGCCATTAAGCAATGAATACAGTTTAAAGGAATTGTCAGGAACAGCAAATGTGATGACTGCAAGTGACTCAGAGCAGGCCCAGAAACCAGTGTCCTCTCCTGGAGAAGCATGTGTCTTTGGAAAGCACACTAGACGAAAATCGGGTGAGACAAAATAATTTGGAAACTTAAGTTCCTCTAAGTCCTACAGAAGGGCTGATAAGTATGACCTAGGTATGTGGGGTGGACTATGGATGGGCCTGGATTTAAGGTGGGCGAAGCTGAGACTGAAGTTACCACTGGACCTTTGGGCAAATCCTATAAATTCTCTGATCTCCTGCAGGCTAATGTGTAAAGTGAAGATAAGGAAACATCACTCATATATTGTTTGAAAACATTAAATTGAGTTTAAAACAGGTGACACATGCAAGCTGTCCAAAAAATCCATGTGTGATAATAGCAACCACACTGTACTGGTGTTGTGTGCCCAGGCCTTTACTCAATGCCTAACGCATAATGTGCACTCAAATAATTTATGAATGATTAAAGGTTGGCAGGTTAAACCTGGTAATGGGAAGATCTAGAAACTAAAATTGAATCACTCATCTCTACTTAGTGTGGAGTCTTAGTTTTCTGAACCAATAGTTAATGGACTACAATACCAGATTATACAAAAGGACAGGTAATAATTTGATGGGAGGAGATTTTGTGTTATCTGACAAAATGGGAACTAACACTCTAGACGCCACCAACCTCGCTCACCTGCCCTCCTCCAACTCAGAACTCAGGAGAAAGGAGATGGACGTGAAGATGTACAGCCTACAGGAAAGGAAGGGCCATGTGTACCAAGAGGTCACCGAGCCCCAGGATGATGACTACCTTTGTAAGTGACCCTCACTAAGAAGCCACTTATGATACAATAATTTCATGTAGTCCTTTGGTCCCCAAATCATTCCCTTCCTCTAGTGACCTGGAGTACAGGATAGAGTCTCAATGATGTCAGTCTGGACTTCCTCTGAAGCTCTTTGTGTCCAGGAATATGCGCTAAACCTTCCCCAACCCCTGTTGCTCTTGCCTCCAGATTGTGAGAAGTGTCAGAACTTCTTCATCGACAGCTGTGCTATGCATGGGCCCCCTACATTTGTAAAGGACCGTGCAGTGGACAAGGGGCATCCCCACCGCTCAGCCCTCACCCTGCCCCCTGGGTTGCAAATTGGGCCATCCAGCATCCCTGAGGCTGGGCTTGGAGTGTGGAATGAAGCAGCTGATTTGCCAGTGGGTCTGCACTTTGGCCCTTATGAAGGACACATCACAGAAGATGAGGAGGCAGCCAAGAGCAGATACTCCTGGCTGGTGAGAACTATTTACCTCTTTCACTGTCCTCTGGCTTCCCTCATTCCTTCTAAGGCTTGGGGGGACCACCTCTTATATGCTAGACATGGAGGGGACAATATGGTTAGATCTGTGTATTAACTGGACTTCATATGAACACAGAGCTCCTTTTGAGGATCAGAAGGTAAGTAGGAACAAAGCAATGCAGTCACAAAAGAGTAGCTCTTCCCTTGTGGGCCTCTTGCTCTGATTGGACAGGTAGCCTCAGATGTGTAGGTGATGAGTAAGAAAAATATCATGTGTTCACAGCTGGCAGTTGAATCCCCATGCAGGCTGAAAGAGCTTTGATGACAATAGTGTGAAATAATTCTTCTGACTATAATCTCCCCATCAACAAAAAATAAAAGGTCTTTAACTTCTTTTCTGAAACACAGATCGCCAAAGGGAGAAACTGCTATGAGTATGTGGATGGAAAGGACAGATCCTGGGCCAACTGGATGAGGTGAGGTCAACAGGTCTCTTGGTGCCAAAGGGGACTCTCATCCCCCACAAGCCCATGTATCTTTCCCTCCCATCATGCCTTGCTCAGTGGTCTCCCTTAATCTTTTTTCCCCTCTTTTTCTCCATACAGTGTTCTTTCATTTCAGGGGACTTTTAGGAAAAAAGTATAGGATATGTCCTCAAAATAGAATTACAGTTTGTCCTCAAAATAGAATACAACTTGATTTAGAGTTTGGAGCAGCCAGAGATCACTGGATATTATGGCCAGTCAGGGTGGAGGTTAAGTCTAGAACTGGAATCAGACATCTGTAGTTAGTGTGGAGTCCAGTCTGGGTTTTAGAAAGTAGTATTAGGCAGGATGAACACTGCAAGCAGGACTTGGAGGTAGGAATTCACATGACATGCTCACAGACACTCAGACACTGAACAAGGATTCCCTGGGAGCATTAGGGGCAGTGGGCAACACCAGAGCCTGAGGGCCTTACGAATCAGTGAGGAGCTGGACATGGATGTAACAGGTAGTGGGAATTCATCACTGTGCTTTTCTTTCCCTTCATCTGCCTCAATCCCAGGTTTGTGAACTGTGCCCGGGATGATGAAGAGCAGAACCTGGTGGCCTTTCAGTACCACAGGCAGATTTTCTACCGAACCTGCCGGGTCATCAGGCCAGGCTGTGAGCTGCTGGTCTGGTGCGGGGACGAGTATGGCCAGGAGCTGGGCAGCAAGTGGGGCAGCAAGTGGAAGAGAGAGCTCACGGCTGGGAGAGGTGGGCACCGCTGTTATTCAAAACAGAAAAGAGAATTCTCCATAGAGATATTTATGATCTAACTCTTAGGTATAGTAAAATGCACTCTAAAGTCAGTAAAGTTTCAAATCACATGCTTCAAAAATTCACAATTCATTCATATGCCTTTGACTCTTAGGCAAAATTTGCATATTTTTTATTTTTAAAATATTTCATGAGCAAAATACACAACCGCATGTAGTGCTGAAAGACCGAGAGGTAAAAAAGAAGTTTTCAAGCACTAACCAGCTCTCTCGCCAAGGCAGTTTTTCTGACATTTTTATAGCTGTGTCTCCTTAATTTTCCTCTATACTCCTACATAAAACATTTTTGTTTATAGGCATTCATTATTTTTTAAGGATTTTGTCCTGGCTGGTGTGGCTCAGAGGATTGAGCGCCAGCCTGTGAACCAAAGGGTTGCCAGTTTGATTCCCAGTTGGGGCACATGCCTGGGTTTTGGGCCAGGTCCCTACTACAGGGCATGTGAGAGGCAACCACACATTGATGTTTCTCCCTCTTCCTCCCTCCCTTCCCCCTTTTCTGAAAATAAATAAATACATAAATGAAACCTTTTAAACAAGATTATTTTTACAGAGATTGGAAAGGAGGGAGAAAGAAAAATCAATGTGCAAGGGAAACATTAACCGGTTGTCTATGGCACACCCCCAACTGGCCCACAACCCTGGCATGTGCCTGACTGGAATCGAACTTGTAACCTTTCAGTGTTCAAACAACACCCAACCCACCAAGCCACACCATTCAGGCAGGGCACATTCATTCATTCATTTCAGTGAATTATGTGAGGTCCTACTCTGGTGCACATCGTCCTGGGATCTGGAAATACAGATAAACATGAGGATGAGAATCACTGCTCTTCAGGAGCTGACAGGTGAAGTAGGGAAGCCCAGGTACGTGAGCTTCCATGTGCATGGCACCACACAGCAGTTAGTTCTTCGGAGAAAACTAATGCAGGACAAGTGCCTGGGGATCAGTGTGAGGGGAGGTGTGGTGTGGCAGGTGGTCCGGGAAGGGCTCCTCAGGAGACAACATTTACAAAACTACCTGCCAGCAAAAGGATCCGAGGCAGGGGGAGCAGCTAGTGCAGGGAAGAAAAGAGGTGCTGCGTTGAATTCCCTGAGGGTCACTCAGGTCTCGTCTCAGCACAGAGGGTAAAAACAGATCAGACGGATGCTTAGCAGCCCCGAAATGCAGTGCCCATGACCTGAGTTGAGACACTGGGGACTTTCCTGAGTGAAAGTGTGCAGTTGACAGCTATAGAGTGGTGTGTTCTCTGTTCTGATTATGCTTTGTTAGTTTTTAGAAAATGAGCTCCAGTGGGGAATCCTCTCAGATTACTTCATCTCCAAGTGAGAGAGCATGAGAGTAACAGGAGTCAGGCGTGTAAGAAATGTGGTTGAAATATTTTGAAACAGGTCTTGGAGTATTAGAAATGGGTAACACTAAATGAGATGAAGCATAAATATTTGGTGTGAGCCTTGAGCAAGGACAATTTTACTATTTTGGAAAACGTGAGAGAAGCAATTCCTAGTTGGGGCTGGTGGTTTTCCTCTTTAACATGACTTAGAAGGTACCTGCAGATGAGAAAGATCACTGTGCTCCATCCACACAAGGAGTGAAATGGCCTCTCATGTTTCTCAAAAGTCCCTAGTCTGAGCATAATTAGTAAAGACCCTTGATGTGGGCCTTCTGGATTTCTGAGGAAGATGCACTGCATAAAAATAACAAGGAAAATAGATGGCGAGTAGACACTGTGGGAGACAGAGGTTGTGTTATCACCACCGTAAGAACGACTCACGGGGCAGGTCTTACCAGGAGAGAAGTCATATGGCCCAGGCATTCTCATTAGCATCTGCCCTGACCAAACCTTTCTCTTCCAGCAGAACCAAAACCAGAGGTGCACCCATGTCCCTCTTACTCTCTGGCCTTCTCCAGTCAGAAATTTCTCAGCCAACACGTGAAACTCAATCATCCCTCTCAGATTCTCCAGGGAACATCTGCAAGAAAACACCTCCAAGCAGAGGAACCCTGCCCAGAGGATCAGAATCAGCAGCAGCAACATACTAGTACGCACAGCTGGAATGATAAAGCTGAAGGTCAAGAGGTGAAAGAAGGGTCCAAACATTTGCTTAAAAGGATCAGTCAGAGGAGAATCTCAAGACCCTTTTTCCAACCTTCCAAAGAACAAATGAGCTCTAGTGAGCACGAGAGAATGATGGAAGAAGAGCCCCAGAGAGGCCAGAAAGAGAACCCAGAGGACACAGGCAAGTTCTTTGTGAAAGCAGGAATGTCAAAAATTGTAACCATCGATCATGGAGGGTGTTGGCAAGGCTTTAATGATGGGTCACATCTCATCACACATCAGGAGACACACTCTGGGGAGAAGCCCTATGTTTGCAGGGAGTGCGGGAGAGGCTTTACACAGCAGTCACATCTTATCAGACACCAGAGGACACACTCTGGGGAGAAGCCCTATGTTTGCACTGACTGTGGACGAGGCTTTACACAGCAGTCACATCTCATCAGACACCAGAGGACACACTCTGGGGAGAAGCCCTATGTTTGCAGGGAGTGTGGGCGAGGCTTTACACAGCAGTCACATCTCATCAGACACCAGAAGACACACTCTGGCGAGAAGCCCTATGTTTGCAGGGGAGTGCGGGCGAAGCTTTACACAAAAGTCAGTTCTCATTACACACCAGAGGACACACTCAGGGGAAAAGCCCTACGTTTGCAGGGAGTGCGGGCGAGGCTTTACACGGAAGTTATATCTCATCGCACACCAGAGGACACACTCTGGGGAGAAGCCCTATGTTTGCAGGGAGTGTGGGCGAAGCTTTACCTGGAAGTCAATTCTCATCGCACACCAGATGACACACTCTGGGGAGAAGCCCTGTGTTTGCAGGGAGTGCGGGAGAGGCTTTACACAGAAATCATATCTCATCGCACACCAGAGGACACATTCTGGGGAGAAGCCCTATGTTTGCAGGGAATGCGGGCGAAGCTTTACCTGGAAGTCAGTTCTCATCACACACCAGAGGACACACTCTGGGGAGAAGCCCTATGTTTGCAGGGAGTGTGGGCGAGGCTTTACACGGAAGTCGTATCTCATCAGACACCAGAGGACACACTCTGGGGAAAAGCCCTATGTATGCAGGGAGTGCGGACGAGGCTTTACACGGAAGTTATATCTCATCACACACCAGAGGACACACTCTGGGGAGAAGCCCTATGTATGCAGGGAGTGCGGACGAGGCTTTACCTGGAAGTCAGTTCTCATTGCACACCAGAGGACACACTCTGGGGAGAAGCCCTATGTTTGCAGGGAGTGTGGGCGAAGCTTTACACAGCAGTCACATCTCGTTGCACACCAGAGGACACACTCTGGGGAGAAGCCTTATGTTTGTAGGGAGTGTGGGCGAGGCTTTACACAGAAGTCAGTTCTCATCGCACACCAGAGAACACACTCAGGGGAGAAGCCCTATGATTGCAGGGAGTGCGGGAGAGGCTTTACACGAAAATTATATCTCAGTGCACACCAGAGGACACACTCTGGGGAGAAGCCCTATGTTTGCAGGGAGTGCAGGCGAGGCTTTACACAGCGGTCACATCTCATCAGACACCAGAGGACACACGCTGGGGAGAAGCCCTATGTTTGCAGGGAGTGCGGGCGAGGCTTTACACAGAAGTCATATCTCATTACACACCAGAGGACACACTCTGGGGAGAGGCCCTATGTTTGCAGGGAGTGTGGGCGAGGCTTTACACGGAAGTTATATCTCATCACACACCAGAGGACACACTCAGGGGAGAAGCCCTATGTTTGCAGGTGGAGTGAGTGAGTTATTAGCATTAAGTCACATATCAATAGCCATAGGAAGTCTACATTCCCTTACTCTCCCCAAGATTGTAATTAGTGGAGAAGTAACTGGTTAAACAAACCCTCCAGTTTCATGACAAGAGATGGACAAACAGTTCCACAGTAATATGGGAATGCCAGCAACAAATTCATTCATGGTTTTTTGACCTGTTATAAAACATTTTGTCTCCATACACATTTTCCTCATCACTGAAAGCAGAGGGTTTCTGAAGAACTCCCTGCCACAAAAGACTCATACTCTCAGCCACAGAAATTTGAGGCCTGCAAATGTATAATCTGGAGTCAGTCTACTTTGGTTACTGCGCAGAGAGAGGGATTAGAGACAGACTCATCAGGGAAGGGAATTTCCTGGACTCCTCAGAAAGGGGCCTTTTCTCCTAATCAGCTCCGCACCCCTCCTTCAGTGGCTTCTCTTGGCTCTTCTCCTAGTTTCCTACAACCTCTGGAGCCACAGAGGTGAATGAATGGCAGGGAGGGATGGATGCTTGTGCACGGGTGTGAGCCTGGCTCAGTCTGGGCACTTGGTCTTCCTTACTCCTTGCTGCCCCTTCAGGGTCAGCATTTCCTGGTGCACAGCACACAGATTCCACATCAGTCCATAGTAGGTGAGAGTCTCGGCTCTGTCTCCTCCAGCTGTGTGACCTAAGGCAAGATTCTCAACTTCTCTCTGCTTCCTAGTCTGTTCAGTGGAAATGGGAACTCCAGCCTTTCAGTTTGACATTCAAAGTTGAGTCAGCACAGACAGAATCTGGCAAGAGGTCACTGAGATCGCAAGTCCTGCTGAACAGTTTTCAGTGCCCATGTCTTGCAGGTCTTTAGTGCTGGACTAAGGAAGATAAGGACAGGGTAGGGGTCTGCAGCCAAATTCAGAATTTGAGCAGACCTCACTGCTTTCTCCACATAGACTCAGCTGCCCTGAGGAGGCCTGAGGTAGGAGATGTGCTTCCCTCTAGGTCACCACCCTCTCACTGACCCTGAGCATCCTCAGAGCCTCCTCAACACAGGCAGGTGGTGCTGAGAGTGGCCTGTGAAAAAAGACCCTCACCCACCCCTTGCTGAGAACTGACACTGGGAACAGCACCTGCCTGCACTGGGGTGTTAGGGTAGATGGCGAGCCAAGGCAGGGAGGACGAGGAAGATGGTTTTCACCCACTGACTCAGCAGTCCTTCGCCTGGTCCAGTTCTATTGCCAGATGTTCCAACATCACAAAAAATACCATGCTAACACGTTGAAATCCTAGGTATTGTTTCCACTATCTGGCAAAGGCTTTCAAAGTGTATTCATCCCAAGGCCTAGAAGATGGGAGGGGATTCGCAGCATTCATGGAAAGGGCCCATAAAACAAATTTGGCTAATAGCTTTCCTCTGGCCACTACCTGTTTTATGAGAGGGTCCCTAGTGCTTACAGAAAGAGCCCATAGGTAACTTTGGGTAACGGCCTCAACTTAACTGTAACTGTCTCCTGTCACAGATCTATTGTACAAGATGACCAAATGGGGTCAGAAGTGAGATAAGGATTCAGGCTAATGACCGCCACACATACCTACGTTTGGGTAGTCACTTTCCCCATGGAAGCTGGCACCACTTTTACCCACCAATCAGTATCTAACTGCTTCACCTCCCATCCCAACTATGTAAGTCCTCAGGACAAAGGGCCTGGTGCTCTTGCCATCCAAGCTCTTGCCTTTCACCCCCACCTCAGCAAGACCTGTTCTCTTCCATGAGAATGTGTCACTAATAAACCCTGCTTGCACGCTAATACACTTGATCTGTAATCCTTTACTGTGCTGGCAAGAAGGACCGGGTTTCTCCTGTGACAGGTGTACCCAGTCTGCATGTGGCAATTCATGAAGCTCAACACAGCAGGTTCTGTAATCCACTCTCCTTGTGCCTGGGTCCCACAGGCCTTCATACATCACTGACACCATATTGAAATGAGTACTTATTTTATCTTTAAACTTTTGTTTGTAAGTCTGATGGGATAATCACATGCACAATGTTGGTCGTTCCTAGCCATCCATCCACAAATAATGTCCACAATGGCCCAGGAGCACAAAATTCCCATGGACCCAGTGGGTGGGAGTCCATCAGGACTCAGGGTGAGAACAGGGTAAACATCTACATCTGCATAAGCATAAGGAAGGGTGCTAACAGCTCCCAGAGGCACTTTTCTAAGAACCAGAGCTGAGTTCAATACACAGAGATGGAAAACATTTAGTGAGGACCCCATCGTACCCTCTCCTGTGTGAGGGAGACCTAAGCATGACCCACCCTGTTCCTGCTGGGGTGGGTTCACCAGTGGGGGACACCCACCCCCATGAACTGGAACAATGACCTTTCTGTCTTCCCGGTGCCAAGCTTGTAAAGAGTGTCTACATGAACTACATGGATTTCAATAATAAATATCCACTATTATTTTCTTTCTCATGCTTTTTTGTAGAAAGGTGTGTGTCTTGGGTTTTGTTTCTCACCCCCCACCACAGCCCAGAGAGAACACCATAAACTCAATATTCTGTGGCTTTCAGCATGGGGCACGGGAGAGGGGCAGAGTCTTGGTGTAATGCTGGCAGAGGGGCTGGGACTGAAATACAGTGGGAAGGGGAACCCACAGACGCCATGTGATGGTCACTACCACCCCACGAGGACAGACCCTGTAGCTCTCCCTCCCCTTCAGCACCAAACCACATTCCTAGTGCAGCTGCCAGCCTCCAAGGTGTCCCCCAAATCCACATGCTGTCACCCCTGCCCTTGTACCGTCAGTCCTTCCTTCACACAACCGAGCTGATCTGTGTTGTGAAAATGGTGTGTGGCTCTCAAAGCTAAGTCATAAACCCGCCCTTTTGTTTCAGCCTTGCTTGCTTAGTTCACACTGTCAAAGACCACCTTGTGCAGGGAGCTGGGTGTTTACACACACCCCCTCCCACTTGCCAGTGGCTGGCAGCCTCCATCCTTGTTCTGAAGTGGAGGCTCCAGGTGTGAGTGTACCCTGACATCTGCTGGATGCTGCATCTCTTGTCCTTGACAGGCAGCTGAAGTCACTGTCCTGTCCCTGTAACAACTGGTGGGCCTCCAAGGCCACTCCAACTGCACCTGCCTGCTTCCCAACTCCTCCACATGACACCGTGATGGACATGGATGGGGCAGGTCAATAGTCCTTGGTCAAATAGTCCAAAAACAACATTAGTTGCTGAGGTGACAAGACAGCATGGCCACCTGCCTTCATCACACACTTGACTCTGTGACTACAGTGGCCACCATGGCTATGGCCAGGCCCACCTGGTTTATATTCTGATTGTCTGCCACCCAGGTAAGGGAGCTATGAGCTGGCTTGGGGAGCATAGCTGGGCAGGTGAGGGGTCACTGGCCAGAATGGTCAGCCACAAACACAGAACAGCTCACTGCCTTCCAAGCTGGAGTCAGGTAGGCCTTTCTGAAATTTGGCAGATTTGGCAAAAGGGTCCTGACACCCAGGCCCTGCCCTATCTGTCACTGGTCTGGCCCCTGGTCTGGCCTCGGTCCTAACTGCTCCGGAAAGTTCCTGACCCAGCCTCTGAGAGCTGCCCTTGGGGAGATATGTTACCCATAGATGCTGTCTACAAATATCAGACTTCTTAAAAATTACTAAAGAAAGCTTTTTAAAAAAATAATTTTTACAGTAAGAGATCATTAATCTCATCACCTGGAGAAAACGAACATTTTGAAATCTGCACTTTAAGATCTTCTTTTGCAGATTCTCACACTTGATGGGAACTTTTTTTCTGATGATATGCAGTTACTGTTTTTAAAAAGTGAGTTTGGGAAGTACAGAAAGTAAAAGCACCCATTACTCCATAATCCAGAAGCCACACCAATTAGCACAGCCAGTTAGAGCTTTCTGTTCACAACACATGGGCACACCTGCAGTTTCCTCTACAAACGCTACGGAGCCCGTCTGACTTCCTCAGCAGCCTCTTTCCCTCTCAAACGCCTTGAACACCTTCCTCCAGTTTCCATACTTACACTGGGTCCCACATCCCTGGGCTGAGGTTGCACCAAGCCCCCTTGTTGGACCAGAATGGTGTTTCCGGAGAGAGTCTGTACAGCACATATCGACCTAGTTCAGTGCAGACGCGAACGTGCAGTGTGTGCCGTGCATTCAGGGCCCAGGAAAGCTCTCCAGTGTCCTGCATTTAAGGGGACAGCACACTCCACCTTCAGGCCTCACAGGATGTCAGCGTCCTCCTCTCAGCCTTCTTCTCCTGAGGAAGGTGTTTCAAAATCCTTGGGGCTGTGGTGGGGGTGGGGGCACTGCTTTCTGGGGAGCAGAGGAGAAACACGAGGCTGAGTGGTGGCTCTCAGGCGGGACCACGGGCATTGTCCTCTGTGTCCTAGCCTACTTCTCTTTGGTTTTGCAGCTTTTTGCCCAGGTGATGCCTTCTAATGGGGGTCCCCAAGATGTCTCAGATGCTGTGGTTGGTTATGGAAGGTCAGGATGCAGCCCAAGCCCCTCCCACAGGTCAGCGTGGCGCTGACAGCCGCTGGGCTTACTGGACAGTTGGCTTGTGCTGCGGTCTCTCTCCTGTTGTCCTTTTAAGAAGCTCTCTCTGGGCACCAGGTGGACGTACTGATGTTCCCTGATGCCCCCCTTGGTCTCAGAAGGCAAGGAGAGACTAGGCTGTCCCTCCCGTCTACTTCCCAGAGAATGACTGGGAAGTCAATCCCCAAAAACGTAGGTCAGAAACGACAAAGGGCAAACTCTGGTTTCACGCAGGGAGCCCACTGAGGGGAGTGAGACCCGATGGGATTATTCTTTGCAGGTTCTGATCCTGTGTCATCTTCAGATCAAATCAAAGAAGGTTGAGAAAGACCAGGTTTCCTCCAGCATCGTTGGCCCATGCGCTGACCCACCTCTTTTCTTTTTCTTTATCCTCACCCAAGGTCATTTCTGTCATTGCTTTTAGAGAGAGGGGAGGGGGAGAAAGAGAGAAACATCAATATTTCTCTCATACATGTCCTGACCAGGGGGATCGAACCCTCAACGTTTCAGTTACGGGACGATGCTCCAACCAACTGAGCTTCTGGCCAAGGCTGACAAGCCTCCTTAGGAGTTTGTTGTAAGAAGGGAAAGTCGGTGGCTGCAGGTGACGACACCCCTGGATGGGGAGAAGCAATTGCACTGTTGTGTCTCCTGTGTGGCGTCAGGGGGGTCTAGAACCAGGGGTGATGGCCTCACTTCCTAAAGACCTCAGACAGCCCCTCGTCTTGTGAAGTCATTCATGACACACTTGTAAGCCCCTTTCATATTCCAGGGGCTGCACACGAAGGTTCAGAGGGTGGAGGTGGGCAGGGCTGGGTGCAGACCTGAGCTCTGTGCTCGTGGACAAGCTCTGATGGACTGTTGGGATATCAACTCCTCTCCACGTTTCCCTGCGGGCACCACCACGATGCAAGTCACAGCAATGGACACAGCCGCCAACGAGAACACCTGTGACGCAGCCACGGCTCACGTCACGGTGCCTCAGCACAGCACGCTCACCATCAACCAGCACACGGGCAACGTCGCTGTGCTCACTTCAGGGCCGGACCGATGGGGTGGGGGCAGGAGGGGCCACTGGGTGGGGTGGGGTCCATGTATATTTGTCCCAGCTGGTGGGCACAGACTGGCCAATCAGAGCAGACGTAGGACAATCAGAACAAACTCTTAACTAGAACACGGGCCAACCAGTCAGAAGGGGCACCTGCTGCAGACTGGGTCCTGCCGGTGCCCACAGGCTGACTTTGAGCCCTGAGCAGAGTAAGCCCTAAGGAATCACCAGAGCACATCAGAAATGTGCTCACAAGACCGCCCTGTACGTAGCAGGATGAAACGGCCTCTCGCAAATTAGACCACATTCTCTGCTGAAGATAGAAAACACTTCCAGCATCGCCCGCCACCATAACTGAGGGGGACCCAGAACCCACTGTCTGGTGCTGGGACTGGGAACACATGGATCAGATCCCAATCCAGGTAAAGTCTCCTCAGGTCAGTTCTGGGAGGTCTCAAATCACCAAATTTTGCCTCTATGGAGCCAGGGGGCCAAGGCAGAAGGTGAGCTGCCTGTCAGCCTTGCCTTGAACATCTCACAGGACCCCACCCAGAAGCTGGTCGTTTAATGGAGAGGATGGTCCTTCTAGGCGGGTGCCTCAGGGGCACCTCATCTGCTCTCTAGGTGGCGCTGGGTGGACGAGCCCAACCTGCCCCTGATCCCCAGGGTGGAGCACCGCGTGTCTGTCTGCAGAGCGTGCCCGTGTACAGCCCAAGGGTTCAAGGTGACGGCCTCCTAGGTGATGAGTCAAGTTCCACAGTGACAACTGGACTCACACTCACTGACAGCAACAGCCACCCTCCCGTCTCCAGCCTGACCGTGTCCAGCAGAAGCCAGCGCACGTCCTGTGAACTGTGTTCACTGGTGGCTTGTGCGTCACTGTTGAGCCGCAGTGTCACTGAAGCCCATGGTCCTCAGCAAGGTGGCTGAGGCCTCGCTGGGCCTCGCTGACCCACCAACCAACCCTCTGTCCCAGAGCGAGGGCAGCCAACTCTGGCCTGGGCAGTAACTCGAATGGGGAGACCAGTGAAGCAGACAGAGTCCGTGACAAAATCTGGATGCAGTTGCTCTGGGGTCAGGCGAGGAGCTCCGACTTCAACCACAGATTCCCATCACAGTGGCGTCGGGGATGGGCACAGGCATCCTTCCGGTGACAGTCCAGCCACTGTGGCGTGTGGGCCTCCCTGTGGTCGGTGCTTGTCCAGACAGCAGCCAGACCAGCCAAGTTCTCAGGACTCTGCTCAGGGTCTTGGCCGACCAGGAAGGACCATCGGTTCCAGGTTACTGAGCACCGTGTGCTGCGTGTTTTACCTGCATGGTCTCTAATCTGTGAGGCAAAAACACCTTCAGCCACAAGCCCAGAAATGTCAGCAAGATGGTGCAAGAGCACGACTGGCCTGTGGCTCCATCTCACAGTCCAGGCCCAGAGGCCCGGCTGCCAGGCAGCCCGGCAGCAGCACCAGGCACACAGCTCCACCTGTCCTTCTGCTCTGTCTTCCTGGGCCTGTGCGTTGTCCTCCTGGTAGTGAGGGGCCCCTGCACTTCCAGCATCGCACGCCTCCAGTCCCAGAGACAGGGAGGGAGGGGGCGGGAGCCAGTTCCTTTGAACTGGGAGGCTGCTACTGCTGGGCGTGTTACAGTTGGGGAGCCCTCCCCTCTCTGGATGAACCCACGTTTGTGCCCTTTGATCCCAAGACAGAGATGCCAGGACACAGAATGGCAGGAGTTTGTGCCCTTGTTCCAATGACAGAAATGCGAAGGCACGTCTGGACACTACTCTCTCATCTAAATGGTCCCGAGCAGTAAAGCCAGCACTGCCCCCCAGGTGACAGGCGGATGTCAGGATCTCAC